GTAGGTAAATTAAAAAGTTGGATGAAAGAAAATATGTACGTGGATAAGTAAATAAATGTGTTCTCTATTATGACTAAATAATGATTATCCACCTGCGGCACGCATGAATAAAGCAATAAAAATTATCTAGAATACTAAACTTAATTAATCTTGCATTTTCATATAAAGAAAAAGTGATGTGAGAATAGGGTTGGACCAAATAGCCAGCTTAGCCACCTCAATACAGTATAGTTTTACTGTGTTTTGAGATTAAGGTTCCTGCTGGCAGCCGATCCCTAGTTATGTAAATGGTACTCTTGTCGACGAACACTAAGCGTATACTAGACCTCGATGAAAAACTAGACTTAGATTACCGAAACAGTAGCGGCACTCGACCCCTGGGAAAGAAAGATCATTAAAATAGGTTTGGGGGTCGGAAAAGGTCTCTCTCTAATCCTGCTTTAAACAGGATTTGCGGCGTGCTCATTCAACCGGTTTGTTATCTTGTCTGCGTGCCGTTATAAACGAAAGCATCTGCTTAGCCACCAAGTAAATATCAGAATCAATTCTTACAACTGAGTAGGTGGGATGACTCATAACTCGTCCAAGACCATACCTACGACGTATTGTACTACCCCTTTTTTTCTGCCTCCCCCAGGCAAGTGGGGGCCGTAAGAAGTAATTACTAGTTATTCGACATACTCCGGCATAGAACATATATTGATGTTTATAAGGTGTATCAGCACCTGAAACATCGTCATTGGGATGAGGAGCGTGAGGTAGCTCTAGCAGGCAAGATGATCGAAATGTTTCTGGCACTGCAGGTGCTCAAATTGCGTATACCGGTCGCCTGCTTAAATGGCCACCTTAGGCAACTAGGAATAATTGCGCGGTGCAATACGCCGTCAAATCCAGTCTTGGAGTATTTGTGTAGTAAGCACGGCATATACAATGAAGGGATGCTTGGGAGGTTATGTAAATATTATTTAAAATGGGCTCTTTCTCTCCTTCCGATATCTAAGTGTCTTGAAATGAAACGGCAGGATTGATTAACGCTAGGTTTTAGTTCTGACGGGATGGACTTCTCATAAGATTGTGGTTCATCCGTGTATGGCAAGCGAGAGATTGAAGTACTAGTTGCGGCTACGCACATCACACCAAAGTGTCGTCTGTTGCTGATGTTGATCTTCACCATGCTATGTAAAAAAGATGATTTTGCTTTGTATTTGAGGAAAATTTCTTCTGATCCTGTCAGACTTGCTGAAAGACCTTAAAATATCAGATCACGTTTCTTGTCATTGCACCTGCATGCTGACTAATGGATGATGACGCTTGCGAATCAGTGGTCGTTGCTGGGTTGGTGTCGTGCTGTACTCAAGAAATTTTCTGTACTCCTGCCAGATTCAATTTCGAACGTGTGAAAATGGTAGCGGCACCGAAGCATAAGCCCCCTTGTTCTTGTTCAAAAAATCTTTCGCAAATGATCAGTCATCACTTCGTTATGACTTCTTGATGAACGTAGACCGGACTGTTTTCATTATTATGTGCAAACGTCTGGTTCACAACCACAAAGTTCTGTAGAATGATAGTTAGTCTGTAGCTTCCGGTAGCTGTTCCGTACTTGTTTCCTTCCTTGGCACTTAGTTGCAATGCACGGGGTCAGACAGTGGGATTGTGGATATCAGTCCATGTAGACTTTTCTTTTATAGCCTACGTTCCATGACCATCTTAGCTTTTATGGTTGCGATGGTAGTTGTTACAACGGTCTTCTGGTAGTCTGAAATGATTGCAGCTTAGGAGTGACGGTTGATGATGTTCGCATCGCGATACATATTTTTGTACGACTAGCGTTCGAATTTTGCCGAGCATGTAAATGGCGATCATATGCCAGCTGAACTTTCCCTCATTAGAACTTTTTGTTCTTGTTATTAATTGCCCCCTGTCTTCGTTGGTAATCTCATTTTATGTGTTGCAAATTCTATTGTACGCTTAATGAATACTCTCCTCTGCATTCTTAAATCTTATTAACTTTGAAATTGTTGTTTTTTCCTGTTTCCGGAGTAAACCCCTTTGAACTACTGGAGTAAATCCTTGGCGATGAGGTGTCATACACACTGCGAGGTACAGTCGAAGTTTTTGCATAATTTGTTCAACGCATAGCTGTGGAATTGGACCAGGGCAAAAGAATAATTAGCTCCATGCTGTTCGTTTCAATGGTATTTGATATCGCTCCAACAGATAAGCTGCTCTCTACCGTTTGCGATGTTGAGAATAGTTTGAAAATTTTTCATACTGTTAGGGCATAGTCACAACAGCAGCGTTCTGCAACATTCGTTTCTGTCCCCCTATATACCAACAGCTTTACACTTGTGCTACCGCTAATAAGTTCCAAATATACGGACTACACTACCGACATTGCGGTTGTTAGAAACCATGAACACCTCGAAGAATAAATGAGCTACATTAAGAAACTGTTACGCCGGTTCTGAATCACATGGGTATATCCTCCGTTTTAGCAAGTGTGTCGAGATTATCTATATTGCTGTAAACACGTGGAGTTATAGTTTAAGATTTAAAATAATTTCGATCCGCAATTATCGTTGTTTTGTTGTTGTCATCATCATCCTAGGTAACAGGATCAAGGACTGAGTACCCAGATTAAGGACATACTATAATTTGGCTTCTGTTAACAATGATTTAAGCGATGTTGGTTGCTGTGGCAAAGGTCATGTTCATCACCGTTGCAAACCAGTCTTTCTCTCTATATATATGTGGATATTTCGGGATTGTACATCATACATCAATTAAAAAGTCAACGGATTTCAGTATAGTGGTCTTTGTTGCTGTCTGGAATAAATCGGTTTTGCGGCACTTTATAAATACCTGAACCTGAATGATGAAAATGCAACTTAAACGTTAACTTTGTCCAGTGTAATGTGTTACACGTTTACGCGTCGTTCACTGGATTTCGGATGATTGTTCTGCATTTAGATATGTGTATATGGGTGCGACTTTAAGTGAACCAGAAACCACCAGGGAGACGCACAGCTGTGCGAATGGCTACGTCAAGGTTGGTTCGTCATCTATGCAAGGATGGCGGATAAGTAAGCGCTTCTATCTTCTGTACTTCTTGTGTGGTAGCCGTTGAACTACTGCTGCTGTATTTCACTCTCTACTATAAACAGGTAATGCGAGTTTCGTTTAATGATTCACATCACTATTTGCCTTACTTGAGGTGGAGTATTTAGGCTTGTGATAGAAATTTCAAGCCTAAATTGTTGTAAAGAATGTCTAGTGTTTATTCCTTCTATCGTATAAAGAATTAACAACTGATAACCACGATTAGGGTTATGGTGATAACGATTATTATGGTGATATTCGCTCCTCGGGAAAATTTCCGCGGATCTGAACCGTTAACTTTGAAGAGGAGAACTCCATTGAAATCTAGCATTTTTAGTTTAAATAGTGTGATGTCGATCACCATACTTTTGCCAACATGTCAGTGTATTAAAGATTTGAATCTCTCGAATCAATAAACTGTCGGAGACTATTTTTGACGTCCTCGTGTCCTCGAAAAGTTTGCTCTTTAAAGAAGTGATAGTGTATTGGCGAGATATTTGATTCTATCTGATAGAACATGGCGGATGAGGCAGGATTTGGATACCCAGCTCGTACAATTTTTGCGTGGTTATTCTTGCAATATGTCGCCTGGCGTTGATTGCAGAAGGATAGGACTTTCGATGTTGATCAGTGCTGGCGACTGTTTGGAATTTCTGGTAGATTCCAGTTCATCACATTACGACTTTGCCTGACAGTCACATCAGGTCTTAAGATGATGTGGTGGATTTCTCTGACGGCAGACTACCAATTAGGCACCGTAGTTTTTTTCAGATGAAGTTCAGATTTTGGCATATGTTGTAGAGACTCGACCACTGCGTTGATCGTGTGGCGTTTTGGTATAGTGATGAGCAGGTATGCTCTGAGCTCTGATGATGCGAGCAGTCCTTGCCTTATTCACGAATTTCATTGAGTAGAGAATTTACCACGCATTGCTTCAGACAGGGGTTGCTCAGTCGGTAGAGCTCAGAATTCAAGGAATAGGTCCAGAATTCAGGCCCCGATTGGGGTCATTACCCTTCTTTCTCCCGAGGTTCATAAATGAGTACCACTCCGTGGGAAGAGTAAAGGATGCTACATGCTGTGCTTGCCACAACTATTGACTCTGCCTTTAAACAATAACGCATTTCTGGTTGATGGCATAGAAACGGAAGTCAGCTCCGAGCCATGAACTTTGTGCAGAGAAGAGTATCAGAAGGACCTAGTCATGAAAGTGAAGGAAGATAGAAATTCCAAAGAATCAATGCAGTCCAAAAGGGAATCATTTTTGTTTCGCATTAGCAGCGAATGGCATAATATGATTATTATTTGATTATCATTATTAGGATGACAGTCATAACTAAATAATCTTAATTAATTTTTTGCAACTATATAGTTTCAGTGCTGAACGAATAGTAGCAAGATGCCTGAAAGTGAGAAGAGACACTTTCGGAGGCCATTGAAGTGGTCAAGGCGGATGAATTGCAGAAGGTGAGGCTATGGAATAGCCAGAATTTTTAGAAAACATCTGTTATTTTCTAACTTGGGGTAAGGGGTCCGAGCTGAAGTGGTGGTCATACCACTAGTGGTATACCTTCATGGTGCGTGATTGACACAACAGTAATAAAACTCTTGAGTAGTTTGTATTATAATCAACTCTGTAATTTATAGTTGCTTTTAGCATGTTATGATTGAAGGAAGTCTTCAGACTTTGCTGCTCAGGCATAAAAGCGTGTTGAATCACATGACTTCTTCCTCTCTGTTTGCATCGAACCGGCAGCGGACGAATTATCGAATAAAAATTGTTCATGCTTTAAACAATATATACCTATATGAATGATAATGACCCATGTAACACAAAAAGGGTTTATTTTCTGCCGTTTAACACATTAAGAAGGCGGGATGCAGGCTGTTTACAATGTGCAGACATCATGGCCTTGCCTCTCGCCCATACTGGTATCACCACAGCTGAATATCATTCTGTT